GTATTTATAATATGAAATTGGATATAAAGTAGTGAAATCATTAAAAGAAAAATCTATAAATACAGTTACATGAAATTCGACTGCTAAAAAGATTAAATGGAATTAAACTATACAGGAGGCTGTTAACTGTTATACACAGGAACGCACATCACGTTAGACACAGAACGCGCATCGCGTATGAAACAAAATGGCTTCTAAATTCTCAATGTCGCAACTCTTTCTATCTATGGCTCTGAATCCTTGGAGGTTACAGCGCCGCCATCGTTGGAGTTACACGTCAACACAAAAATGTTGATCCGAAATTTACTACTTTGCAGGGGTACGTGACGGTATATATTGACAGTAAACAAAGTCTGTGATGACGGTCAGCATTTTTTAGAGTTCTAGAATGTTAATAGAGTAGAATGATATGATAGGGCACATGTCATAGGTTTATATTTTCAAACTGGATAATTTCTAATGATGGTATTTTAGTCCAGGTATGGCGGCGGCAGTCTAGGCCTAGGCTAATACCTACCTACACATGCAAAAAGTAGGAGGGCCTACCTAGCTAGAGAGGGTAGATCGCTGGCCTGCTGGCTATGCGCGGGACCTAAGATTAAGCTAGGGTCAGGATGAAGGACGACTAGCATTGTAGAAAGGCTTGCCTAAGCATAGATAGCAGGTCACTTCGGCCCAAAACCAAATCGGCCAAACCCAACTCGGACCAACCAACTTGGCCCCAGATGACACTTTCGGCCCAAAAAACTAACTCGGCCCACCCAGTCTCCCAGACGACAACTACCCAAATGATACGGAATTACCCAGTCCCAGAAACCAGATGAATAGCGATCGCGATTACCCAGTACCCAATGACAATTATTATTATTATTTTAGTATTATTATAATTATTAATATTTAATTTATAGTTCTATATTTATTTTTAGTATAACTATTCTTATTTATTTTTATATTATCTGAATTATATATTTTATAATTATTATATTATTATATTTATTGTTATTATTTTAGTATTATTATTATAATTATTAATAGGATAGGCCTAATATTATTTTTCATTAGACCTATTACTATTCTTATTACTTAATTTTTATATTATCCGAATTATTACCAGTTCCATGCATTAATTATTTTTTAGAAGAATCTTAACATACCTTTATAAAATAAAATGTATATTTGTATGAATATAAAGCAAAACAAAATACACAAATATACAGATTTATTCAGGTACATTTAACTCAATCTGGCTTACATACAAATTTTTTTTTTTTTTTTCAATTCACGACGGAAAAGTTTTAAAGTAAACGGTAGACATACTGTTATTTTACGCTAACTGCCCCACCAGGGTTTTGTTTTTTTTTTTTTTTTCAATAAATCTAACACTTTGGAATTAAACAGGTGCACTACTGTTATTTTTGGTAAACTGTTTATTTCAGATTGGCAACACCCAATATGTTTTTCGATGAATGTAGCACCTTGCAAAAACTGACAATAAAAGTCAACTATTCATTTCACAACACAGGGACCACCCAACTATTTTAACCTGTCGTCTTGAATAACCGAGTTGGTTTGGGGCCGAGTTGGTTTTTGGGCAAAGTGTCGTCTGGGGCTGAGTTGGTTTTGGTCCAAGTTGGTTTGGACCGATTTGGTTTTGGCTCAAAGTGACCAGCATTCTAAGCATAGGCCGAATGCCATCCGTTTCAGCAGCAAACCAGTTCGGCCACGATCTATTTAACACCCAAAAATAATCAAGAAATTGAATGAGTTTTGTTTTTCTTTAGACTCTGTTTTCTTTTTACAAATAAGCAGAATATTGTGCTTGTTTCTTGTACAGTATGTCAAGTCTAGGCTTCCCTTCAACTTGTCAATTTTACATAAATAAAACATGCTGTTGAAGTAAGCAAAAACTAGTTTTTCTAATGTAATTGTTGGTTAATTGGGCAAATAACGTATCATTCAGAAGATATGTGTGGGAAAAGGATAAAAACAATCTGGAAAGGGGTGTTACAATGTGTTGAAAATTGTTTTCTGGGGATATTTTTGGGTGTATTTTAAATCTGGTTCATAAGTGCCAAATATCCTAGGTCCTACAATACTGTAGTTTTGCCATTATTATTATTATTATTTTTTTTTTTTTTTTTGCTTTTATTTAGACACCTTGATACTGAAAAGTGTGCTTAATTGCCATTTTGTTGTAGTGATGCTGGCCTAGGCCTATGATATATAGCATCTCAATTGTATGAACATGTAGAGGTCAGAATTTTTCCAAGTCACGTTGACCCACCTATCTCCCCTACAATACAAATTATAATGATGTCAAATACAATCAGTGCTCATCAAAGCCTACAAATACCCAAAAGCTAGCTCATTATTTCTGTCTTTGATCTGTTTTTAACCACAGTTTTGTATTCTTTTTTTTTTTAATGACTGCCTACACAAAAGAAGATTTTGTCATGCTGATTGACCAGAGAGGCTAAATAATGGAGGGCTGGTCAGGCTTTACAGATGAACAGCTTAAGCAGTTCAGAGGACAGGACGATGGTAGTTGAACTGATTTAGTTTTAATTGAGAAGTATACAGTATGCTATAGTGGGAGGGCAACAGTTACCTGTTACTCAATAATAATAATAATAATAATAATAATAATAATGTAGAAATATATACCACACCTTTTGCAAAGAGATGCAAGGCACAGACAATTTTATTATTACCTCTGGTCATTAGATTTATATTATTGTTTTAATGTGCGGTTTACCAAGGGATACAAGGGGCTGTCGATGTTTTTACTGTATTATTCCTGGAGCTATAGATTTATGTTATCAACCAGCCAAAACAATTCCCTGGGTATATTTATAAAAAATAGTTACCGGTATGTTTCCATAGTACGTTTAAAGCAACAACATTCTACCAGGTACAAATGTTTACTAGTGGCAAAAGGGACAAACCTAGATAAAGTGCCTTGCTATAGTATAGCAGAATGCATAGTAAGCATTTAAGCCACCAATCTGTAGACATGAACTATAACCGCTGTGGAAACCACTCCCATGTTGTGTAACATACAATAGATTATTGATTTTTTACTATTATGCTCTAACAAATGTTGAATCGTTGTGATAATTATTCTCCATATGTTGTCTACAGGTAAACAGAATAAGCCACCACAACGGAAGAAAGAAAGGAAGAATCACCCCACCACTAACAGAAACAGAGCAAGGGAAAAATTGCATCATCAGAAGCAGCATGGACACGATGCTGAAGACATTCCCATAAATATCAATCAAATGTTATCCACTCCCAGTGTGCTGAAAAGCAAACCAACTCAACCTACTGAAGGCCAAAGGAAAACAGCATTGCCAGCTAGTGATGACTCAGGACAAACTGTTATTAATAATGGGGTCAAACAAACACAGCTGGAAAAGAACCATGAGGATGGAAACCAAAGCAGTAAGGATGAGGGGAAAGATGAAGTTAAAAGTAGGGTGGAAGAATCAGCTGTTCAAGTTAATGAACTGGATGAGGCACAAGGGAGACGGTAATAGCAAAATACATTTGAGTAGTTTGAGCCATCACTGCAAGGTCTCTTATTAAGGGTTATGACAACAACAATAACAACAGCAGCATCACCACCAGCAGTATTTTCAGTCTCATAAACCAAAGGCTTAACAGAGTACATCTATATTATGAAGACTTGTTGAACTAATTTGTAGGTACACAATTGTCGGCCCGTCGCTGGTTTCAAAGATTGGAACTGGCCACCAACCGAAGGATGAATACCTGGGGCGATATGCAAACAAGTATTGAATGCATTTTTATAACACATTTCTTTCCTCAATTTTGATTGATTATTTACTGTATTTATAGGAATCAATAACTAACGAAATAAAATTATCTGATCTTGGATTTGATAAAATAATAACAATTATTTAATTTTCCATTCAATTATAAAATGCTTTAACTGAAATCTATACATTTGCATTTATAATGTAGTCGAGAACTCACCCAATTAGAGATGATTCAGAAAAAGCAGATGGAAATGGAAGAAGAAAACAGGAAGAAGAAGATGGCATTGACAAAGGCAATCAATGAACGGTGGGACCAACACTTAATTCAAATAAATTATAGTAATTAAATAAAAAATATATATTTATAAGAAAAATTTCCATAATTGTTTATCAATAAGTAAAGTGGAACCAGATATTGGTATATTATTTCAAAATGTGATTTTATTTTTATTGTTATTACATTTTTCTTATGCACAATAAAAAATAGGAGAAATATCTCAAATTGTTTAGCTGAAATGTTTTCTGTCTATAATTTTTCATGAACATGCAACAGTATACGTGTAAATATTCTTCACTCTTCAGGAAAAAAAAAACGCAAGCAGAAACGAAACAGCTGGCCTTCATTCAAAAAGAGCTGGGAAAACTTGAGTCATTACTATCAAAAGATGTAAGAATACTGAGAGACAAGATAGAGGAAAGCAGTTTTGAATACAATGCTGCAAGGTACACTATGTTTGTAATTCTTTTAAATAAAAAAAATAATCAAATTTAGTTACTTAAATGTTGGGAAAGATTTTGATGATCTCCTCCATTGGGTTTTGGGACTTTACTCACTAGAAATATAACAAAGACTGTTGCTAGCCTTTAAAAATTATGTTAATTCAAGTAATTTTCCAAAAAACGACAGAATCCATACAGTGTAGTATATGTATACAGTAAGTAACGTCAATAGTGATAATACAGTGAAATCAATATGACTTACAGCTTACATATCCTCTTGAATAATGCTCAAAGGCTCTCAAATGAGGTACCGTATATTCTCGCACATTAGACGAGGCTTAAAATAGCAAATTACTATCGAAAAATAAGGGTCGTCTTGTACGTGCAACACATATGCAATTTTTTGATTTTTAAATAATGTTTGTCTTATGTGCCAATCGTTTGTAACATGCACATTTACTACTGCAATGAAGCTACTATTCCTGTTAGGATAAAAGAACACAATTGAAATGTGGGAAATAAGATTTTGATGTAGATTTTAAACCCATAAAATACTATTAAATATTTGGAATTTTAATAATTGGCTCCATTTTTAGCCAGGTAGGTGAGACCACAAAGAGCAGCAAAAAGTTGGAATTCCGACAGTGAAGCAGGGGTTGTTATATGGCCTACATACAAAAATTTTTGGGGGTCGTCTTATACGCGGGTCACCTTATACTGTACACAACGGTAAATGTTACCCAAGTTTACATGAACCTGAACACCATGTATATTATTGGCACTATTTACAGGCACTTTAAAATGCAAAGGCTGGCCACTACATAACGCAGGGTTAATATAGTTGTAAGGATTAAGGCTAATGCCAGTTGTTCCAATTCTCTGCAAATAGGAACTATACCTATCAAGCAGTGGCGTAACGCCTATGCGCTCTCATGCGGCGGTCCGCAGGAACCCCAGAGGGGCCATACCCATAGGTTCCTCAATCTAGCACCCTGACTAAAAAGGACTTTGTTGATAAATAAAACCATAATGTGTCTCTGAAATCGACTGTGGGGCATATATCATATTATAATGATTAAAAAGAAGGGGCCCCGTCAGTCCCAGACCCCACCAAATTTGTCAAAGTGGAGATAAAAAGAAAATTATATTCACAATTTGAAGTCTGTGAGTGCCATTTCCGGCAAGGTAGACATGCCATAATACATTTTCTTATCTCGGCCCCACAAGGGCAACAGCTTAATGTGTGTCTGAAATCGACTGTAGGACATATCATGTTATATCCAGTGGCGGAATAAAGAGTGTGGGGGAGGGAGGAGCTGCCAGTCCGGGGCCCCACTAAATTTGTCAAAATATTTTTTAACTGGAGATAAAAAGAAAATTCATAATTTTGTCTGTGAAGTGTCATTTCCGGCCATCTAAAGGTGCCTACTTGCTACTACTGTATACGAACACATTATGACATTACATTTTTTTTTGCAGGAGGAGATATGAAAAGGCCGAAAGTGAATTTGTTAATGCAAAAATGTATTTACATAAAGTTACAGAACAAAAAGAAGCTTTGACTGAACACCTTTATACCATCATTCAGGAAAACGAGACTAGAAAAGCAAATAAACTAGCAGAACTAACGGAGAAACTAAACATGGAAAATATTGATGAATACATTGCTGCAGCAGAGAAAGAGATGAACAGTGAACGCTCCCCCTCGCATTCTACTGCTTTATCTCCCAAGGTTGAAAGTACTACAGAGAGCTCAGAGAATAGATTAAATACATCACAAAATACTGTTAATTCAACAAGTGACCAGCATTTAGATGCTGATGCTGGAAATTCTTCAGTTGCTGTAACTGCATCTCGATGTGATACTCCTAATCAGCGGGGTTTGGAGACCATCACTGAAGTTGATTCTGAAGTAACTGATATCAGTGTTATTGAAGAGGCAAATGAGAATAAGCTGTCAATTGTCTCTGAAACTAACACATCGAATAACACAGTTAACATGGAAAATGACACAATTAGTAAAGATCCAGAAACAGATGTCTAAGGTTCAGTGCAGTAGAAAACCTCTTTTAGGAATATCCTGTATTGTTAAGAGGGTGAATAAATTACAGGTGCTTGTTTCACCCAATAAACATGCCTTTTACTGTTAAGAGGAGGGAGGGGGTGGGTGTCTACACAGACACTGCCACAAAAATGACCTTGTTATAATGATTGTTTAACTGATTACAGGTACGTTTCCTGTTGTATTTATATTTAGCAAAGCTCATTTTGTAAATTCTTCAGATAAAAGATCCTGCCAAGAAAATTATATTTTTATGATTGCATGAATAATTGTGAAATGATTCAAAACAAAAACAACATCGACAAGCAAAGACAACCAGTGTGACCCAGGTATATAATATTTATATTGATCATTAGTCGTTTGGATAAATTTTGTCTACAATAATATCAAAGCTCTTTAGTAACATGCAGTTTGTGTTACAATGTATAACTTTTATTGTGTATGAAGACATATTATTATTGATTTGTGTATTAAGTTAGTGTGTTAATATTGTCTTAAATCCCCACTTATTTAGTTTTGTTTTCCATTTAAAGAAAAATATTAGATGAATGATTTTCTTGAGATTTTACTATAAAGTACAGTACTTAGTATACTTTGGGTAAAGGGACTTACATTTCAATAGTGACAGTTTTATAAATAGACATTATATTTTTAAATATATATCAAGTGTCATGTATTCTAGATGTGACAGTAATGACTACTGTACTCAAGTACTTTACGGCATAAATTTTATTTATTACTGATAAGAAATGGAAAAAAATGTTTAATGAAATACGTTTGTTACCTGGTTATATTCTTATTTTATATCTTTCTACTGCAGCTCTCTTTATATTTATAGACTTTCTGAAGACAAGGGCAATAAATAATATTACGTCCATCTAATTGTTTTTTCAAACTTTGTTTATAGTGCTTTGATACACCTTACAGTACCACATACTACGGTGTATAACCCAGTGTTCTTGACAATCAAAATGCTGGTACTCAATAATTCAATACTTTATGCAATCCATCATGTTTTAAAATACAATAGAAATGTGTCAAAGTCTGGTGATGAAGTAGAATTATTAAAAAAAAAAACCATGCATAAAATTAATAGCAGTTTAAAACGGTCTCACTTAATGGCGCGTACCATCCCATTGCACGTCATTGCTAAAGTTTGGTTTCCATACAATTGCTACACGCTATCGGCTACAGCTTTCATTGATGCTGATTGGTCGAATCGGTGAGCCTTCGCGATTGCGTCGTGGATGGGGGAGTGCTACACAGTACAAGGATTGCACTGAAAATACTGTAGCCACAGTGTAGCGAGTTTAAGGAAACCAAGCTTTACATCCACAAATCAGCGTTTTCGGGGTTTTTTTTAAGTGATTGCGACAAATGCTTGGCTTGAAAAGTCCATTCGCTCAACATACGACAAAGGTTAAAATAATGAACTGGACTTCTGGATGAGCCATTAATTGCTCCTTAGCTGTGGTGCTGTACCAACATTGTGGAATGACTAAACCAATTTCATGATGACATCTTCGTTTTTGACCTCTTTTAAATCCTGTCTTAAATCTAACATTTTTTTTTCTCAATTCTAAATCTTTCTTGTTCTTGTTTTGTGTTTGTGTGTGCGTGTGTGTTTTTTTTTTCTTTTCTTATTTAAAAAAAAAAATTATTTCATTTGTTTTGACTCGGGTAAAACAGCGCACAGAGATATTGCACTTTAGTATACGCAATTAAAATGGAAGACCATTACTATTACTAGTAGGGAGTTTGGGACAAGGTAATAACATTGTATTATTCAGCAGTTCGAAGTTCGCCATTCCTGTAATTTAATTAATTGGCTTTGGTGAGGCTTATCTCCTTGCTGAATCGTGGAAAGGAAAAAACATCGATAGCCTCTTTCAAATGACCCATTGCTAAAGATATTCTGCCACCTAAATGTGAAGTTGAACATTATAAAACTATTTTGTGTTAATTTCCAAGTAGTTATTCATCATTTACTTCAGTAAATTCAATGATTGATTTATCCATTATTTAAAATTATTTCCGTAATTATTCTGTAACATTAAATGCTTATGTTAGGCCTATCTAATATTAAAATTAGACATTTTCAGTTAAAGTGAACAACGTATTCTTTATTATTGCAATTCATCTAACTACTCATTTCACTTTCTCTAGACCAGTTTTTCCAAACTGTGGGTTGCGATCCAAGAATGGACCGCCGATATTTTTAAGTGGGTCGTGGAAACGGCCTGTTAGCCTACATAAAATAATAATAATCACTTTAATTAGGCCTATATCTGTCTCTTATACACATCTAGATGTGTATAAGAGACAGATATATATATATATATATAAATTTTGAATGTTAAGAAATTAATCGTCTCACTTTCAAAAGCTACCATAAAGCAGTGCCCCGTCACAGCCAAGTTAACTCTGAAATAGAGAAGTTGTTTAACTTTTCTCCAGCGAAGAGTCTCGATTGCCATTAAATTAGTCTTCACCTCATCAGTTTAGTCAGCAAAACATCTTTCGACTTGTGCGCTGCGTGTGGATAAGCTAGCTTCCTAATAAATCTTCAGCTTGTATCTTTAGTATACATAATTTTGGTCTAAAGGCTACAACCTGGCTAAGATCGGGGGTGGCGCCAGCGGGGGCCGGGGGACAGGGTCCCTCTGTCGGGAAGAGCTTCCCCCCACCCCCTCGGAAAGAAAAAGCACAATATTCGTCGGGGAGAAAAAAATATAAGTATTTTCTACATTAGTATAGGACTCAAAAATCGATTAAATAAGCCTTTGAAACCCCTAAATCGTCAAAATTTTCGGGGGCTTCGCCCCTTGGAGCATTTTTGAAACATTTTAATCGAAGCTCGACCACGCCCACTTGCTTTCGACGGGGAAATCTGACCCCTCATTGGGGCATCGGCCCCACTGCCGGGGACCTCGGCCCCCCGGTCGGGCAAATCCTGGCGCCACCTCTGGCTAAGATACTATTTGAGAGATCAGGCCTACATGTAGCCAGATAGCCTGATACTATCAAGGCAAGGCTACCTCATGCTCAAGCCAGGATTTTGAAAGGGGGGGGGGGAGCCGTTATGCGAATTGCGTAGGACCCCGGCGGGGTCAAGGAGGTGAATCCCCCTGTGAAGTAGCGCACTCTGAACGTTCTTAGGACTGTTTGAGAGGATAAAGTGAAAATTGCAATAGACGCATTATAAATAAGCGCAAAAATAATTATATAATAAATCAACAGTGGCAGATCTAGGAATCCGAAAGAGAGGTGAACCAGGGAGGAACTTTCACAGACCGAGGAACCACCCTCCTCAGCCCCACCATGGTTGGGGCTGAGGTAAGAAAATTTATGATTAGGGCACCCCTAGATGGCCGGAAATTACACTCGCACAATTTGAATATATTTTTCTTTTTTTTCCTTAAAGGGGTGGGGGGGGGGCCTTAAATCCACCTCTGCTCAAAACATTCTTTATCCAGAATAGTCATAATCACGAAAAATGGACATTAAAAACCAGATCACATCCTAAAAACAAACAGCAGTCACTAAGACATACATCAGGAGCCGACTCGATGGAGTTTGATGTCATACCCAGGGAGGGCACAGATCTGTTTTGAAAGGTGGAGGGGGAGGGCATTTTGTGATTCGACACCCACCTCAGCCCCACAATGGTTGGAGCTGAGGTGAGAAAATTTAAGGAAATAGTACCTCTAGATGGCAAGAAATGACACTTTTAGTAAAATTCATCATCATCACATCACCATTAGTCAAAATGAAGCGCCAAAAAAAATTCTCATGTTCTTTATCAGGGATTTTTGACAACCATAGAGATCTTATTAATATGTGTGTGTATACCATAGAAAACAAAGCTTAAAAACATTGTCTTTGAGTATGTACTTTACATAGGCCTACTTCAAAAACGTGATTTCACAACCACCTCAGCCCCACCACGGCTGGGCTGAGGTGAGAAAATTTGAGGAAATAGTACCGTACCTCTCGAGATGGCCGGAAATGACACTTTTATATAGTAAAATTCCTTATCATCACATTACCATTATAGTCAAATGAAACGCTAACAAATTTCTCATGATCTTTTATCAGGGATCTACCTAATATCCAGGACAATTTAGACCTAATTATAGCTTACTAAGCTTTAACTATATATACTATAGTATGATCAACAAATCACAACTTTTTTTTTCGAGTTTAGCACAATTTTTTTCAATTTTTATTGCCATTAATATTATTATCAATTATTACTATCGTCATCATCATCATTGTTATTATTATTATTATTATTATTATTATTATTATTATTATTATTATTATTATTACTATTAGTAGTAGTATTATTAAACAAACATTTAAAGAAACTTGCACACGGATAAAAATGAAATTGAACCACAGTATCGCATTTCTATCTTAAAAGACCTGGCCTGAGATTTATGGATTTAAGATTTTTTTAATCACGCTTAGGCCTATGTGTTCTATTAGGCCTATATATAACGTGTACTGATGCATATTGACATGTTTTGTAGTATTTACTTTGAGTGATCCCAGGAAAGAATTTGTATTGGCTCAAGAATAAGCTTTAAAATTTTAACACCGTGTACAAAGGGGGGGGGGGGGGGGGGGGGGGGGGGGGAAGCCGCAGCTCCCGCGGCTCCCCACTCCCTGGATACGTCCCTGGCTCAAGTTGGTTTTCGTAAAGTATATACGCTCGACCACACACACCAGATTTCTCGCTTTGTCTATGACATCGAATGTTCCTTCGAGAAAAAACAGAAGTTTGGTAACATCAATATTTACCTTACACCGTGGTGCTTACCTTAATTCTTAAAACCATTCCAGAAGTCCAGAAGTCTGAGCATTCTTTCTATTCATCTCTTTCAAAAAATCCATGCAGTTGCCTGGTTGTTTTGTACGTGGGCATTGTTTTATTTCCAGCAAGTTAAGTGTGTGTAACTTGGTGGATAGCGTGTGTGATCGGTTGCATGTAAACCACACAATGACTTATTTTCAAAAGTTGTTGATCAATAAGGTAAGGTAATAATCATAAGCATTTCTCTTTTATGACCAAAAGAAAAAGCACATTCGATATTTTTTGAATTGGTGTTTTAAACAATGTCAATAGTTATCTTGTATTAGTTTTATATACTTAAACTCTATAAAATAAAACGAGAGCATCAATGATGCAATAGCCCACTTGACAATAGCTGGCAATGTTTAAGTGCTGTTGGTGGGTGGAGGTTGTGTGGAGTGTTGTTATGTGTATTGAGCATAAAGAAAAACATTTAAAGTTAGAGTTAGTTGTATGCAGCATCATAGACCTTTTTTGTTATGTTCACTTAACAGTTAGGAAAGGTGTGATGTCGTGTACAGTGATATTAAAGGAAATATGGTTGTTGTAAGGTTTGTTGTGTACGTAACGTTTTGAAATATTTTGTACTGTAATTATGAAGATATTTATGTAGAGGTTTATGATATAAGTAGACAGTTTGGTGAGTGAATGGAATTTGTTGCATAGAAGTATTTCATTGTGAAGAAATATATTTTTCCAAAGGCGCATTATAATTACGTATATCATTTGTCTTTCTTTGTTAGTTAAACCACGTTAAACATGCAGCTTTGTTTGAGAAAGGCTAAATAACTTCTTGGCTAACGTCAGATATTGATGTATGTATATGTATATATATGTATATATATATATATATATATATATATATATGTATATATATATGTATATATATGTATATATGTATATGTATATATATATGTATATATGTGTATATATATGTAGGCCTATATATGTATATCTATATATATGTATATATGTATATGTATATATTATATGTATATATATATATATATACACGTATACGCGT